TAATAATATGAGCTTGAGTCACCAAACTTGACATAGCTTCTAATATAGAATATATATGTGCATTTTATGTTGGAGGAAGAGGGTTCAGGGTATCCCGTAGTCCCGAGCTCCCGACTAGAACCTCTTACTTGTTATAAATGAACTTTAGTATGCGGACGATGTGAAACTTATTCTGTCATACATTATGCCCTTACATCATTCTCATATGCAGACGATTTGAACCCAATGCAATGTTGGTGTTCGGTCAATCAATCGCATATTAATTGATCAAAGTGTATGTTTATGACATTTAATTGTACTATACGTTATCTTGTCAGTTATACAATGGACAATACTCCATTCCAACGTATACAAGAAGTTAAGGATAAAGTCGTTCTTTTCGATTCCAAAATCTGTTTTAATCTTTATATAGATACCATCGTTAATTGGGCAAAAGGTGTGTATTCTATACATCTCTCTTGTTCTCCGTATCATTGAATGCAGTTCTTGCATCTGGTCGCTTCTTCTTAATCTTCCGTCTTTAACCAACTGTAGGACAATTTTCTGTGCTATCTTCCTTCATAAGCTGATTGTTAGGATTCTCATTTTCTGTTGAGGCGTCTTTGATACTCTATTCCATCTACATCTGCCGGGAAGAATCGCCTCTCGTTCCTATCAACAATTATAAAAATATTTTGCATTATTCTCTACCCCTTGTGAGCCACCCTAGAATTTTGAATCTACGGCAAGGAGCCGTAGAGAAGCCCTATGGCCAAGAATAATTATATATTAAAGTAAAGAGGCAAGAAGCCATTGATACTATAATTAATTTAATAAGTATTGCTGAATAAAGGGGCCAGGAGCCGTCGCTGCGACCGTGCGCTTGTGATCGCTTGCTCAACACCGTCTCAGAAAGCGCAACTTCAATTCGGCGGCGAAGAGCGAAAGCTTCGAGACGAAGTTGGGGAAGCTCGCGGCGACCCTTTGCGGCCGAGGCGAACGCATGGCTCGTTAGCGAGCGTGCCGGCGGTGCGGCAGAGTTTTAGTTTAGAAGCATAGTAGGGTAGTGATTAATAAATAAGTAAATAAAGTGAATGTAATGAAACCAACGATGGAAATTGCAACTTCTTGTATTCTCGGGCGGTTTTATTATTTCTTGCATCCGTATTAGCCTATGTTCACCCTAACCTAGCGATAGCATGTGGTACGAGGCTACGGCCCGATAGTGTAGTTGGTGCGGGGCTACGGCCCGCCTGTGGTGTTCGTGCGGGGCTATGGCCCGATAGTCTAGTTGGAACGTGGCTACGGCCCGATAGCGTAGTTGGTGCGTGGCCACGGCCCCATGGCGTATTTGGTGCGAGGCCACGCGCCATAGTGTAGTTGGAACGTGGCTACCGGTAGAGTTGGTAAAGTTGCTGTTGTGAATCTAGAGTTAGGTATAGTTTGGTGTTTAGTATAGAATTGGTGTTGTGACTATAGGGAGAGGTATAGTTTGATTGGAACATTAAAAGAGCCTAAGGTGAATTTTTTGTTTTATTTTTTTGGTGGAATAACCGACCGGAGAACAGAGAAAAAAAGGTGAAAAGGAAAATAATAATAATAATAATAAGTAATAATAACAAAGGAAGTCAACCAAAGTGAAGGATGGTCAAAGTTTGGAAAATATTAAGTGCTTTTCTCGGCTGTTGACTTTTGCGAAAGAGACGAGAAACAATAAATACAATTAAATCTACGGAACGGGAATTGTGTCCACCGATCCCAAGTTACAGTCCATATAAAGAAAAAGTCGTATTAGGTACTCAAAGGGAGTGGTAGAAAGAAAGCTCAAAATGGAATCAGGTGAGTGCCAAAATCCAGTGGTAGGCGTGCGTTGGATCCACCAGCGGCGCAAGCAGGAGTTAGTGGCCATCGCCAGGAGTCCGGGCTGGAAAAGAAAGAGCGCGTGGAGGAGCTGCGTAGGCGGGCTCGGCTCGTGGGCTCGGCTTTCCGAGATGCAGTCTCAATTCGCGAAAACGTTAGATCCGCTATCCTTGAGTGTCCCATCTGATTCGGGCAGACGACCGCGCCAAAAAGCGGAGCCCGACCTTTGAGACTCACAAATATACGGGCGTCCGCGAACGCCTATCCCTAGCGTGGCCGTCAGGAGGGTTGAAGAGGCCCACGATTTCGGTTAAAATGAAGATCACCGAGCAACCATGACTGACGTAGGTATGGAGCGACCCCCAACCGCGCCTGTTAATGTCCCCACGCTACACAACCATATTCTCAGTCGGAAGTCATGCCTTTCGCAAACGTTCCGGAACAAGTTAGGAAGCGGGGCATAAGATATGATGGCCGCTCTGACCCTCTCGGTTTCCTGAAGGACCTAGAGGAGCGCGCTATCATGTACTATCATACATAACATAAACACATAAACATTATACCTTTTTTACCTATTTTCAATGGATTCAGAGTATAAAAATAGAGTTTCGTACTTGATTATCGCCACATATCAAATGCGAATTGAGAATCTAGCAAATTCTGTACCAACTAGGACGAGCTAAATATTTTTCATGTCGCGATCTTATGTCATGCTTCCATCAAATTGAACTAGTTGAAAAATCTAATAATATAACAATAAATAGCGCTTATCGCTTTACGCGATTGCCTTATGGTCTTAAGGTAGAACCAAATTAATTTGTGCGAATACGAACTTGTTTATGGTAGATTACCAAGACAGTTTAATAATATTATTATATTTATAATAGAGCTAAAATAGACCTTCAATAGATGATTTGCAAAACAGATAAGCAATAGCTTATAAAAAGCAATACAAAATGTAGAATATGATAAGAAATTCAATGAGATAGAACAATTTAGGTAAACTAAAGAACGACACAGCGCATAAGTCAGAAAGTAGATATTTAGGTCTTTATAAAGCAATAGAAATATAAGATAGATAAAACATAAAACTACATGTGAAAAAAACCCCAAGTACTGAATAAGAACAGGTTGATCAGCCACAAAGTACCTATAAATATATATTTTAAAAATATATATCATTACAAAAAATTATATTCTAATACATTCTCTATCCAATCGGAAAATGAGGATATATATATTAAATATAATTTATATAATATAAGACAAAAACTGTGTAGTAATAAGGATAAATTCAACAAGTAAAAGGTTCTAGTCGGGAACTCCCTGTAGTACGCGCAACGCAAAAGTTCCCTTGACAGGGTTCGAACTCGCAACTGACCACATGACTTGCTGATGGCTCTCTCAACAAACACAACAGCCAAAAAAAAAAACAACAGCTTCTAGTCGGGAGCTCCCGACTAGGGGATACCCTGAACCCTTTTCTTCCAGTATCAAATGCATATATATATTTTATTTTAGAAGCTATATGTCAAGTTTGGTGACTCTAGCTCTTATTATTTACCAAAATTGCCCAAAAAACTGGATATCGATATCGAGTAAGTTATCGATTATCGGAAACAAACTCGATCTGCACAGGAACTAGGAGCATCTACATCTAAATTGTCAAGCTCTTATAGGTTCTGAGATCCTTGCGTTCATACATACGGACGGACGGACGGACGGACGGACGGACAGACAGACAGACAGACGGACATGGCTAGATCGACTCGGCTATTGGTGCTGATCAAGAATATATATACTTTATGGGGTCGGAGATGCTTCCTTCTGCCTGTTACATACATTTGGATTTTGCACAAATACAATATACCCTTAGACCCATTTTTAATGGGTTCAGGGTAAAAAAAAGATTCCCAGGTAGGCCTCGAATTTGCGACAGACCGCAACAATAATTAAGAATTATAGATAAAAAAAAAATATATATATAATTAAATTATAATTAGCAGCACTGAAATATTATTGAAATTACAATGCTGTTGATAAAATCGATGAAGACGCGCCTGAATGTGGATGTGTACAAGTATATAGAAATTCTTGGAATTTGCGCCTCATCAAATTGCGAGGTAAAACAAAACTTTGGGTTTTTTTAACCGATCTTAATGAAATTTTGTGCAGTATATCTTATTGTACCATAGAATATTTGTTTATTCTCAAGAAATAAATTGCAATAAAATTGTGGCTTTAATTGGTGGGCTATAAAAGTTGGGTTATTAATTTGATTTAAAGCTATGAGTCAGTACCGGGTCGGCAATTTTCCATTGCTATCTTTTCAGCCTATTCTACCAAACAGTTTAAATTACTATGCTTTATTTATAACTTCTTTCTTCCTTTTTCCTATTTATTGTATTCTATTAAATAGGTTAGTAAATTAAGATAATTTTAATTTTACTTAAGAACACTATTATCTCTAGTTACACCCTTCTTCTTAGCTATACGATCAAATTGCGTTACAAAATTAGCTGTGAAAAGGGGTTATAGCTGACAGGACGCGCAAATAAAATACATCCATCGGTCGGTGATGCAATTAGAAAATTGTGTATTTTAACTAAGCTTTTAATATTTTATTTTCATTATGTATGTATAAGTAGCGGGTATAATCCGTGGCACGTATGTTATAAAATAAATGTTCAATCAATGTTTTCAAGAAGACTCAAAAATGATTCTGAAACTGAGCGCACGGTAAACTAACAAGGTTCATGCAAATGTTTCCTCCATTTCACCATTGTTGCCAGTGGAATTCCCAAATTGCTGAAACACATATTCATTAAGTTCTCATGCCTTATTTTACGCAAAATGTTAAGGACGACTCAAATGGATCGAATTGTAAACAAAAGAGTTAAATATAATAATTTTTCGCTAATCAGCCACAAAACCTAAAGCTGCACCAACAAATCTTAGAATCACACTTTTTACCGAGCATGCTCTGATTCTGTGAAAAATGTGAAACACGTCTAAAGTGATTTTTCATATAAATTACCCATCATTTATTCCAAGGAGGGTTGGATTGTAAAAAAAGTGCGAAACACCCCTTAAATTAACACAAAAAACTTTGAAATTGTTTGAGACCGATCGGATGGAAAACTAAAATGTTTCATACAAACTTTTTTTTCGCGATTTTTCCGGAATTCTCCGAAACTCCGTCTTAACGTGCACCTTCATCACACAAGATAACTACATTGAAATTTTAAACTTCCTCGCTCTTACGGTTTGGGTTGTGCGTTGATCACCAACTAGTCAGTCAGTCAGTCAGGACATACACTTTTGAATATTGAGATGGAGACATATTGAATAATTAGGAAGACACTTGTCTTATCGACCATTGATAAATAAATAAAATAATTAACTTAATCTTCTTGCAAGCCATACTCCTTAGTCTCCCGAACCAACTAGATGTCGTTGGTAAGTCCTCAAACAATAAACAATCAACGATGGTTGTTGGCTATCAACAACCTGATGAGGCGAGACAAAACGTAAGCACATGTTGTGTAGATCCAATTATCCCAAATAAAGGAAAAAAATTTAACTAACGTTCCGTAGTCTAAGTAAGCTATCCACGCCGTCGTCTGCTATTATACGGGCTCTAAAATATAATAAATACTAACGGACCACTAACCACAAACATGGCTAATGAGCCTCAAAGAACAAACTTTTAGGCTGGTAAGATGGGGTAACGGTTAGCCGAATTTGAATATAATATAATAATCAAATAGAATATACCAATTACGAAGACAGTAGAATTTAAATTGATATTAACATATGCGAAAATCATTCCATCGAAGGGACCTGTGGAGACGTAATCCATTTAGGACTCGAAAACTAGAACGACGGAATCACGATATCGCAAAAAACACTAAACGGATATGTCATATTCAAGGCAGGGGACATCAGACATAGGAAACAACGACTCCATTTAAAAATAAGATAAGAAGAATATTCACAGAAAATAAATTTAATTTACAAATAATAACAAAGCGGCTAAAAGACACCTAAAGACAAAAATAAAATTCTTGCAATTCTCACAATAGACGAAATATTCACAAATTCCTTTGTCTGCATTTAAATATGCCTTCTGATCTCCACCAAGCGAATTTATAAGCGAAGAATGTATAGTAACAAGTGAGTAGCTAATATGATATTTACAATGTTTATATTATTATTTACTAAGATTTGCAAAGAGATATTGAAGTAATTTGCCTCGTAGGTGGGTCGGTGGGGTGTACCATTAGGAGTCGCCTCTCTCTGATGGGGTCAGCCAGGACCCTGGCAACCGCGACCGCGTGGTGCACCAACTTGTCGGCGTATCGACTGCTAAAGACCTTTGTTAGGTGACGATCGCGTTTAATGGCGTCGGCTGTCACGAACCATGGCAAACCGGCAATCTTGCATGCTGCACCAAACGTTTTAAGGTTTAAGGGTTTACTAGCCAGTCGATCTTTTTAAACCTTCTCATGCATTTTGCTCTGATTGTTGCGATGTGGGACCCCCATATGAGCCTTCGGTCCAAGTGGACGCCCGTGTAGCAGAATGAGCTGGTGTGCTCAATGCTTCTTCCATCGCTTTATAGCCCCTGGATACTGTCTGGGCGTAGCGTGAAAATTACGCAAGCGGACTAAGCACAGTTTATAGTGACTTTCCAACTGACTGTCTAAATTTAGACCTACGACAGCAAGTCCTGCATTGCTTTTGTTGCAGGTGGTAAGGCCTATAAGGCGTACTTAACCTAATTGGCATATTGAAATTTTGTATAAAGTATGTGTGTCTACAACAATACTACAACTAGAGATCGCTTGAGTGGCACATTTTCTAACTTTTAGGCAGCCACCACCAATTGCAATGTGCATCTCATTCGCATTGTGCATGACAAAATAAGAAATGTCTATAACAATAATATGCTCTTCATAGATTTTTTTATTGCAAAACTGTTTATTAGGAATTTATATGGTAGCTATGTAGGTAATGTCGATTGAGATGGCTGTGAATTTTGATCATTTCCATCTAAACCTCGCTGGGCTTTTCTGGTGCTGCGTTCGGAATAATCATCTATAAATTCTTCTTTGTACCGCGTCCATTTAATTAGGGTTTCTGGTGATCTATAGAGAAATATAAGTTTACCATATAAATCTTCTTCCAAACGATACTCCTTGGTCTCCCGAACCAAGTAGATGTCGTTGCAGAGCTTCAATATTCGGTCAACGTATGGTAAGTCCTCAAACATTATTCGACGATGGTTGTTGGCTATTAATGACCTGATGAGGCGAGACACAACGTAAACACATGTTGTGTACAGTCCAATTATCCTAAATAAAAGACAAATATTAACAAACATGCATTGCAGCTTATATTCGTAGTATTATAATAGGTAAATCTTTCAATAAACCCCTAAATTGCGGGAGATCATGGTTTTTTCCAAAAATATATTAAGGGAATAATTATTTAATTCAATCAATAATTTAAAAAAAAACGTACCCAGTTTTTTCAAGGAAACTCATAGTTGAAGGAAATGATTTATCATTGAATATATAAAAAACTATGCCATCATCACAGTCACTTAGAGGTAAGTTGAAAAGAATGTTTTTATAGAACTTGTCGTCACAGTAGTCATGCATTTCCCACCAAACTTTCCCTTCATCCTGTTTTTTTTGCAATATTATTGGCCGATTATATTTACCTGCAATGAGAAAAGAATAATAATATTGTATATAGTTAAAACCATAATATTTTTTTTGTATCTGTTAACAAACTTACTCACTCATTGTGGTATCTTATATAATCAGAAACAAGAGAGTAAAGATGCCTTTTTCACGCCCAAGATATAATACCCTTGAGAACATTTGTCTTACTATGTGGAGCGCCCACTAAGGTAGCCACCCCAAAGTTCATAATTATAATTATAGAGTTTAAACATTGTATAGTAAAAAAGCATTGTATTAGGCCAGTGGACCAAACTGTCTCAAATGATATCGCAAACTGGTAAAATGCGAGACTTAGCCCGACAAAACTCTCGCAAACACATCGGGAAACGATAGCAATATGAATCATATGTCGTTCAGTTTGTGGCTGTCAAAGTTTCATTAACGACTGTCGCAAGAAATACGACTAGCGAGCGTTTTGTGATATTTTAAAAAACTCTCTTAAAAGATATCGCAAAAGGTCCTAATGAAATATGATTTGCGAAACTTTTTTTGTTCCATATCCATTTTGTTCCCATAAGAATGTTTGTTGCTGTTTTTTTTTTTTTTTTTAAATATTCATTTTAGTTCAAACTGTATTTTAAAAATAAATTTAATTTAACTTAAAATTTAAAGGCATTTTTAAAGCAATCTTCTAATTATGAAAATTGAATACATAATATAATGTGTTTTAATTTTTTGTATATTTATTTAAATATATTCTGAAAGGCAATAGTTTGGTTATTAATTTATACTTGTTAATTACTTACCTCTCTTTAGAAATCCAAATGTATACAAATTACTATCACTTTGACCACGTGTCTGCTCGCTTAGGCGGACAATAGAAAAGAGAGCAAAGGAGTTTTTCAACCACCAAAAAACGGTCTGAGTAGGAAAAAACAACAAAAACAACACAGCATTCGAATGCCACGTCGTTTTTACTCTCTCGCTCTCATGAAAATGTTGCACTCTCTGAGCACGATTAACATTTGAAACAAAAACAACACATCATTCTCTCTAATGTGCACGCATTTTTATCGCAAGGATCGTGTGCGAGTGTTTTACGATCAAAATATATCCCACTCTCTTTCTGCTCACATGCGAGCTCATTTGTGAGCATTTTGCGAGACTCTCTCTAAACGCTCGCATGTTGGTCCGCTGGGAGTAATAAGAACAGTTAAGGCAAGGCGCCCAGTTCGAATTAAGTTTGAGTTTAACCGCCGGCCGTCGCAGCATCCTTGCATTGCTGATCTGTTCGGCGGCGAAGAAAGCTTCGAGGTGAAGTTGCGAAAGCTCTCGGCGAAGTCGAGCGGCTGAGGCTTTTTGGGGCACTATCAGGGTGAGTAGACGTGCCGAGAAAAGGAGCGCGAGCGATCACAGTGAAGTGTACAGCGGAGCGCTAGGGCTACAAGACAGTGGGCACAGCCCTAGTTTAGGAAGCTCAGGAGTTAATAAAACTAGTAAATAAAGTGAATGTAGTCAATGGAATGAAGTGAAAAGCTAATCTTTGTATTCTCGGGCGGTCATATTTGTGCTAAACATAGGAAATACCCGATGTTCACCCTAGCCTAGGGGAACAGTGTAGTTGGTGCGAGGCCAAGGCCCGATGGTGTAGAAGGTGCGAGGCCAAGACCCAGTAGTTCAGATGGTGCGAGGCTACAGCTCGCTAGAGTAGTTGGTGCGAAGCCAAGGCCCGTAGCGTAGATGGTGCAAGGCTACAGCCCGCTAGGGTAGTTGGTGCCAGACCAAGGCGCGATGGCGTAGATAGTGCGAAGCTATGACCCACAAGAATAGGTAATACGGCGCTGCGGCTCGATATAGGTAGGATATAGTATATGTAGGATAGAAGCTGTGCGAGGTATAGTTTGGTCGAAACATTCAACAAAAAGATAATAACGAACAAAGGCAAAAACATAGACAAAAAAGGACCCTGAATCCATTGAAAATGGGTATAAAGAGTATATTGTATTTGTGCAAAATGCAAATGTATGTAACAGGCAGAAGGAAGCATCTCCGACCCCATAAAGTATATATATTCTTGATCTTCATGTCCATCCGTCCGTATGTATGAACGCTAGGATCTCAGAGCCTATACACGCTAGAGATTGATATTTTAGATGTAGGTGCTCCTAGTGCCTGCGCAGATCGAGTTTGTTTTCGATAATTGATAACTTTCTCCGTTTCCGAGCAAACGGATAAGAATCGATATCGCCAACCTGTTTTTTTTTAACAAATTGGGAAAATAATAGAAGCTAGAGCCCCCAAACTTGATATGTCGCTTCTAGAATATTATATATATATCAAGCATCATTAATTTTATACCTATCGCCACCTCCCCGCTACCACCCGAGAGCTATCATGTTAATAACCCAACTTTTATTGTCAACCAATTTAAGCCACAATTTAAATGCAAGTGACTTTTTTAGAACACACAAATATTCTATGGTACACTAAGATATACTGTAGAAAATTTCATAAAGATCGGTTAAGAAAACCAAAGTTATATGCCACTACACATTTGAATGGGGCATCAGCTTTCAGAAATTCTGTATACATGTACACATACACATTCATGCACGTCTGCTTCGCATTCTAACAGCATGGTAATTGCGACTTTTTTCTGTAATGCTATTTTAGTTTCTTTTCTATCATAAGTACTTAATTATTGGTGTGGCTGCTGAGTAGAGTAGACAGTAAGTAATGCCGTCAGTTACGAATTCGAACTTTTTTTTTATTTTATTTACTGTTGGAATAAGAGGGTTCAGGGTATTCCTTAGTCGGGAGCTCCCGTCTAGATTCTCTTATGGTTATTTTTTTTAGTTCAATCAAAATAAAACAAAAAATAAATAAATATAATTGAAAAGAAAATAAACCTGCAGAAAAGACACAAACAAAAGTGAATTACATAAATCAACGGAACGAGAATTCCCCAGACACCAAACACGAAAATCGAGCGAAAGTCTACAAGAGGGGGAAGTCCAGCCTAGAGTGTGTAATAAAAGCTCCGAATGGAGTCAGGTGAGTGCCAAAAGCCGGGTGTAGGCGTGCGCTGGATCCACCAACGATGCAAAGAAGAACTGGTGGCGATCGCCCATGAGTTCGGGCTGGAAAAGAAGGGGAGCGTGGAGGAGCTGCGTAAGCGGCTATCCACTTTCGTGTAGGATGGCGGCCATACATACAAAATTTGGGCTCGGCTTGCCGCAGTTTCCCTGGGGCACCCTACCCGACGTTAGCGAACGGCCGTGTCAAAAATCGGAACCAGACCTGAGGAGCGCGCAACGGTACGAGCGAGTGCAGATTCCGATCCCTAGTTTAACCCACGCAGGTGTAGGGGCAGCTCATGAGGTTAGAAACAGCGGAGCTCGCCGGACCACAGCGGGCCACGTGGAAACGAATAGTGGCCCTTATATTCCCTGCCATATTGTCAGTCGGAGGCCAAAACTCTCGCAAACGTTCCGGAACAAGTCCGAAAGTGGGGCATAAGGTACGTTGGTCGCTCCGACCCCTTTGAGTTTCTGGTGGACCTAGAGAAGTGCGCCATTACGTACGGTTTTGCCCTCGATCGATTACCTCGGGCCATGAGCGAGGTATTCTGCGACCGGTCTGCTCGGTGGCTCTTGAGAGGTGGGCTTAGAGATGTGCCATGGTCGGTATTTACGCTACGCTACTTCGAGAGGATGGAGAGCAAAATGCGATCCTGCCGGCAGCTTGTGGGGGAAGAGTTTAAAGAATACCTGATAGAGTTGAGGGCTTTGATGCATCATGCCAGGTATGAGCCGGCGCAGGATTTGCACCAGATATATAAGAATGGCGCTCCCGAATACAGGCTTTACGTACGACGGCAAGATATTTCCACTTTGTCCCAGCTGACTCAGCTTGCTGTGGAGTACGAAACGGTGATGAGACAGCGAGCAGAATACTCCGGAAACAGGTCAGTGAGTCAGGTGGTCACGAGCTCATGTAGCGCGGAATGTCAAAGGACGGTACAGCCCCCGGGAGAACACCTTTACCCATTCCGGTATACTCCCATCGGATTCGGAGCGATTGTTGTGGATAGACAAATCTCCGCCCTGCCGGCAACGACCCCGGCAGAGGTGGCCCACCAAATGATGAGCCAAGACGCCTGAACGGTGTATGATCCGCGACGAGCATGTCGCAGGTGCGCACAGGAGGGGCACCTTGCCAGGGAATGTCCCAATGCGCCCGTTTTGTTTTGTTGGTTATGTGGGCACCGGGGCAGAACTAGAACTTGTTGTCGCCGCACAGAGCCGGGAAACGGGCAACGGCGTCGCCCAGGTCAGGGTCGGTTCGACGCCGACACACACGCGACTCCGTAGTAGTACACCCGCTTAAGGTGGAGGGTGGCCGGATCGTCGCCACCGTGCAGATTGGCGGGTGGACGATGCCTGCTACTATCGATACATGGGCCACTCGCAGCATCATGAGTGAAGGCTGCGTACGCAGGTGGGCAATTCGAGGGAGTGTGGAGAACGTTCAGGAGCGCATTTGTAGGTGGTGGTCAGCATGTTGATGCTTATCATGCCCGCAGTGCTGGACCTCGCCAGCCTGGGAAGCGGGAGTGCCTGCTTGGCAACCGATCGCAGAAGAGACGAAAGAAGGAACTGGAGGAAGGCCTCCCAGGTCATGAAAAGCGAGCACCTGCTCGGCAACAGGTTAGAGAGAAGTCGAAAAAGGCCTCACGCATCAGGGAACTGGAGTGCTTGCTCGACAACTGCCTGAAAAGATGTGTCTTAACCGGGATTGGACTGAGAGCTTCAGGAGCCCAAAAGGCACGCGTAGACCTGCAAAGGCAGATCAACGCTGGTCATGCAGGCGGCACGGCGGCACGGCGGAAGTGTGTCAGAGAACGGAGGGATCAGGAGCATTGGCTCGAATCCACAAGGGCACAGGGAATCGGGAGCGGCTGCCAGAGTCGAGTAGTCGAGGAGCTCTATTTGGAGTTGGAATGGTGCCTGGAGGCGGCGAGACGCAGGGCGAG